GAGGAGGAGAGAGGAGGAGAGAGAGGAGGAGAGAGGAGGAGTGAGAGGAGGAGTATATATATATGTATATACTCTCACAGGCCACTTTATGAGGTACACCTTGCTAGTACTGGTTCGGACCCTTTGCCTTCAGAACTGCTTTAATTCTTCGTAGCACAGATTCAACAAGGTGTTGGAAACATCCCTCACAGATTTGGTTCATGTTGAACTGACAGCATCACACAGTTGCTGCAGATTTGTCGGCTGCACATCCACGATGTGAATCTCCTGCTCCTCCACCTCCCAGAGGTTCTCGACTGGAGCACAGTGACCTCACTGTCATGAGAAACCAGTTTGAGAAGATCTTTGTGACATGGTGACCATGAATGAAATCAAGACTCATGAGACCAGGCAGCGATTTCCAATCTTCTAATGTCCAGTTCTGAGCCTGTGAACTGTTGCCTCAGTAGATCTCAGCTGACAGGAGTGGCACCGGTGTGTCATGTGAAAGTGAGCAGTGAGTGTAAATCTGTTTTCAGCAGAGCGACACACAAACTCGTCAGTTTCTATCTGCATCTGAAACTTCTGAGCAGTGAAGAGTAAAAACTTCATTTTGTGATTTTACCTGTTAATTAATTTGAGGCCAAACTTATGAAAAAGTCTTTTATTCTTTATTTTACAGAATAAGATGCAAAGATTTTTCTCTCAAGCCAAAGAATGAAAAAACTAAATTTATCCAACAAAAAAAAAGATTTACAAAAATGTGGAGAACAACGGAAATCCAGTGGCCACGCCCCCTCCACTGAACAGTCTGTCACCATAGGAACTACTTCTTGGCGTAGGTGATCTTCATGGCGCACGTCGCCGTGATTCTGAAGCCCTGTAGTGCGTCTTTAGCCACGCCCGCCTGAGTGTCGCTTTCAAACTCCACGAAGGAGATGTCGTGTTTCCCCGGGACGAGACGCACTTCTTTGAAACCAGGAAACCTGGAGACACACAAACAACAAACACTTCCTGTCAACTTCTTCCCCACGTCCTTCAGACAAGTTCATGATCAATCTGTCATTAGCATCAACACTGACAAGGTCAAAGGTCACTGGACGATATCGAAGTCTTCTACCTATTAAATAAAGTTTAGTTGAAATAAAGTTACATAAATAAAATGAACCACTGAAGCTTTTATTTTGAAGCACCTGGGAGGAAATGAAGTTGCTGTGAGTTTGTAGCAAACGACCACACCACAGGAGCTAGCTGACATTAGCAGTTAGCATAAACCGTGAGGATTTATTAACAGTGACTGAGATGCTTTTTGTTTATAGTCTGAAGAAGCTAATCGTGGTTCACCTGCTGATGCTAACAGCAGCTAGCTCCCAGGCTAACTGCTCGTTAGCCGAACTAGAATCATTAAGAATGTTTGGGTGAAGAGGTTTTTGTCCCACGGACAGTGAAGCCAACACTCACTGGTTGAACAGCATGGACAGCATCATCTCATTGGTCTCCTCCGGCAGGTTGCTAAGGAACAGGATGTAGTTGGGGGGGTTGTCTGGAACCTGAGGAGGAAACAGATCCGTTCAAACCAGAATCAACTCCATCAAACAACCTGAAGTCGCCTCATCATCCTAATGAATCTTAATGGCGACCACTCGTGCTAAATGCTACCTAGCTCTTCCAACGGGAGCAGTAACTTCTGTCCATGTGAAATGTTACATCAGTTTATTGAACGCTCGTTATTTCAAACACGTTATTTACAGTCTGAGATGAAGAGCGGTGTAAGAACGTGGGACAGAGGACGCTCAGTGGATCTGAGGATCGTCCACCACCAGAACTCTGGCCAATCCTCATGTTCACCGTTTGTTCTGCTTCGTCTCGACAGTTTAACAACGTGAAGAAATGAGTGCGACTGTTTGTTATAGTTTGACGACGATGTTAAACCTGTGTGGGCGTGTCTTACCTGGACGGCAGGTGAGTGCACAGGTGCTGCTGATCCCTGAAAAGCAAAAACCGTGATAAACATGAGACTGTTCATCGTTAACACAGGATCTAGATCTGATCGTCTGACCGAGCCGTGGTTTCACACAAACACAAAACTGAAAAACAGATTCTTCTGAAACGGGTTTGATAAAGTCTCAGGAATCACTTTATCTTTATCAGCCAATAGATCTGTATCTGGAATTGTTTGACTCCCGAATCAGTCCGGCTGTATTTCACTGGAGTTTGATAAAACAAACAGGAAGCAGTGGATGTGAAGACTTTTGGAAACAGTTGATCTTCCTGAGATATTTAAATTCTGTCATATCTCCGACTGATCTCATCTATTCATTAAATACTGAACAGACATTAAGGCTGAAACACAATTTAACCATCGACACATAAAGACGTGACGCCTCAGTAAACTCATCACTCACCACAGCCGGTTTCTTTGTGAGGTTTGTTCCCGCCTCCTGAGCTTTCTTCTTCTTCTCCTTCTTCTTCTCCTTGTCGCCGTACGTGCCCTTCACCTTGGCGATGACCTCAGAGTCGGTCTTTGCGTACTGTATCCTCTGGAAATCAACAGAACATTGGTCAGAGACTCTGCCGTGTCATATTCTACAAACACACTTGAAGTTGTGATGTTTCACAAGGGTGAGACTCAGTGTCGCTACACGACAGAGCTGCGGCGCCAAAAATGGACTAAACACACGCAGCTCAGAGTGATGTCATCCCTCTGGGTCGTACCATGGGCTTGTTATAGAAGGGGAAACCTTGCAGCTGCCTCAACGCATTGGTGGCAGCGGCAAGCTCTTTAAAGACGACAAAGGCCTGCCCCCTCATATTCATGGTCTTCAAGGCCACAATGTCCACGATCTGTCCAAACTGAGAGAAGAGGGCGTAGAGCGAGCGCTTCAGCTCTGTGGGAGGAAGACGAGAGACAGACAACAGCAGAAATATATAAGAAACTTCACCATTTATTTTTTCCATTTATTACTGAGCTGTTGATGAATTCATCTTGAAGTTTCCGTCCTCTGCGGCACATCACGTGGCTCCACAGCTCCTCGGGTCCACTCCTCTCTCACTTCCTGTAAACTCTGTTCAGGACACTCACCCTCCTTCTTCACTTTGTCGTTGATGTTGTTGATGTAAATTGTGTGGTTTGGTCGGATATCCATGTTGAAGTCTGAGGAAACAGCAGCAGACCCAAGTTATGGCTCAGAACCATTTCACAGAATGAACTAAGCATGTAGAAGTTTATTTTATTAATCCTCAGTCTACATATTTCTGTCAGTTTATGGTTAAAGTGAAACTTCTCAACTCATTTGTTTCCTCATGAGGTTTTGAAATGAAATGGTTTATCCTACAACACTAAATATAAAAGTATATTTAATGTTCTAGTTTCTATCATGGAGCTGAAGCACGGGGCTCGGTGGAACATAATCTGGAAGCTTCTGTGTTTATTCTTCATCTCATTCTGTTTAAAGAAGCTAATGTTAGCACGTGTTAGCTTCCTCTGCCTCATTCATAACGTTAGCTTAGCGCAGTTAGCTTTAGAGATCCGGCGGCCGATGCTCCTCAGACCAGCGGCCTCCAGACGAACATCAGCCGGTTACAGGTCTGAGTTGAGCCGCTGATCTGAGTCGGAGCCGGAGAAAGAAGAAACTAAAGTCATGGACTCACCTCCTCTGCTCCTCTGCTCCTCTGCGCTCAACAGGAAAGACGTCACACTGCTGCCGCTATAAGGCTCCTTCGTCCGGTCAGCGCCTCCTGCAGGTCAGAGTGACAACTGATGACGACTACAACAACAATAATAACAACAATAACACAAATAATAAATAATCATAACAGTATCAATTAGAACAATCATATTAATAATAACAATAACTATTATGATATGAATAATACTAATAATAACACTGTTGTTTATCTTCAGCATAAATAAAGAAACTCTTTTGTCTCCTCTCTCTCTCCGTAGAGTTTAATGTTTATGTCAGCTGACGCTGCTCTGTCGTCACGTGAGCGCCAGCTGAGCGCTGTTAGCTCAGAAGCTAACACATGCTAACAGAAGCTAACAGAAGCTAACTGCTGTGACCCATGGGTACAGTCGGTTGTTCCCGGGACAGTGACGCGGTATCCCCGGTCCACGATAACACCTGTTATCATCGGCCCCAGCCCCGCCAGCCCGCCACCCGCCGGCCCGGCTCCGTGTGCAGCTGCTCGGGTTTATCTCCGTGACTTTTGCCCTTTGTTCTTTATCACGCTAGCCAGTTAGCCTGTTAGCTTATGAGCTGTTTAAAGGCAGCGCCGCTCACCGTCAAGCCACTGAGGCTAACTGGCTAACCGAGTGACCGACCGGCTGAGCGCCTGCTCCGGGCGGACAACTGCGGCACACGTGATGGCCTCGGTCCGGGTGGCTGTCCGGGTCAGGCCCATGAACAGGCGGTGAGTTGAGGACATGGACGCGGGTTTTTAACAGATAGAACAACGGTGTATGTGAAGCTAACTAATGTAGCATCTTTGCTAGCGCTGCTGAAATCTCACTGACTCACACTCCAGCTCGCAGGTTGGTAATTAAAACATCTCCACCTGACTTCCACAAGCTCAGCTCCTCTACCTGGGCTCCTCTGGACAGAGGCTCCAGATGTGGTTATGTCCTCCTGAAGCTCCAGATGTTATGTCCTCCTGAAGCTCCAGATGTT